AACGTTTGTTTCCTACCTGACCTACCTACGGCCCTAGTTCGCAGCACATCACACCACGTTCCCGCCGAGTACCCCGACAGCTAGAGGCCGGGTTGGCCGTAAAATCCCACGAATAGTGTTGAATGCATCCCGAAATAATGCAGACGTAAATCGCTCATAGAATGCCCGTCGCTTAGCGAAGCAAGTCTGCAAGCACTTGTGCCCACCACTTTCGTACCCACTGGATGCTGCGTTGAGACTTTTGACCCTTAGCGGGATACCGGAATATCCCTGGAGTATGTACGGCAGAACTGTGGTGGAGGGCAGGGAGAGAGAACGCCTCCCTCCCGTGTTCGGACGAAGTCAGTATCAGTGCTACTTACAAAATTGCAACGAGGGATTAATTTAGACTAATGCACAGAAACCGTTGTTCTTCGCTTGTTGTGACCGACCTCAACCGAGAGTGGACCAGCGGAAGCTTACTGTATCTCTGCCGCCAGTTCGCAGTAAGCTGCTGGAGTGTACCCTCGACTGGCTGCCTGCCCGCTCATCGAGAGAATACCCGCCACACCACAGTAGGCTGCCCGCCCGCGCCTCGAGGGAACACCCGCCACACCGCAGCAGGCTGCACGCCCGCGACTCGAGGGAACACCCGCCACACCGCAGCAGGCTGCACGCCCGCGACTCGAGGGAACACCCCCACACACCGCAGGCTGCACGCCCGCGACTCGAGGGAACACCCCCACACCGCAGCAGGCTGCACGCCCGCGACTCGAGGGAACACCCGCCACACCGCAGCAGGCTGCACGCCCGCGACTCGAGGGAACACCCGCCACACCGCAGCAGGCTGCACGCCCGCGACTCGAGGGAACACCCGCCACACCGCAGCAGGCTGCACGCCCGCTCATCGAGAGAATGCACGCCACACCGCAGCTGGCTGCACGCCCGCTCATCGAGAGAATGCACGCCACACCGCAGTAGGCTGTCCGCCCGCGCCTCGAGGGGACACGCGCTGCGCCACAGTAGCTCACCAGCTGGCGGGGGTAGAGCGGAGCCGACCAAGCCGACTCATGAGATGAACCATGAGCTGACACGAGCAACAGACCCTCCTCTGTTGGACCTGTAGCAAAACGTACGTGTAGCACGTCAAACAGCGCACGCAGAACATTGGCCTCGCATACCTCGCATATTGCGCTCTCGTGTATCGGTTTTATGGGTACCGACATTTTGTTCAGAGGCCTTGAAAGGGCTGTTAAAGGAGTAAGTTAACAAACAAAAAAACTGTGTTTTGCTCTGTGTGTGCTTTCATTCCCTTGTTATGGAGCATTTTTGTTTGTTTAAATTTGTGGTAGAGGAACTGACACCGTTGGGATTAATTGCAAATCGTGTTTTCTGATACGGCGCAGAACGACTTCTGGGTACATCAACACAGCGATACTCACACATTTAGAACCGTGTAAAAACATACGCATCTGTGCCGCTAAACATTCGTTAAGTCAATATTTGTATGTGGTAGGAGGATTTATTTAGGTCTCCTATATTACCTTGTGTGCTTGCAATTGCATTTCCATGTTATTATCTTATCTGGACCCATGTGGAGCACCGCTGTGACTAGGAATGGCAGTGAGGTTGGTAGATCCATGGCGAGTTAAAAGTAGAATTCACCGCAATACCATGCTTTGTCTGATCCCACAGCATTGCCACGAAATAATCAGCAAGCGTTTCAGTACGGCCAGATGTTCTGTGTTTTTGTTTCTCGTAGATGAAGCTAATAATGTATGACACCTTTCTGTTAAGCATAAAAGGTTTCAGATGCTCATAAAAGCAACAACAGAGCTAGCCAGACATGTTTGGTCTCATTTATGTACATGTGCTGTGGGCTGAGTGGAGTCAAATATAAATGCTTGCATGACTGCTGTAGGTTGTTTCGGGACTGCGTTATTGTCTGCCACATCATCGTTAATCCACGTCCATTCTGCTAATAGCCATCGGCTACTGAAATCCGTTGGCCATTTAGATGAAGGCTTATTCCACAGTGCTTCGGCTACAGCTGGGCCGACCCCTGTATCTCGCTCGAAGCAACAGCGCTGTGCAGATGGGAAGCTTGTTCGTGATGCTGAAGAATCGGCCA